GACTTTCACACTAACGATAATTTTGTTTTTGAAACATATATAATTTTGACATTTAAATCGGAATCTAAACAAGATAAAAATTTGGATGAGAAATAACTAAATAATTTGATAAAATTAGAACACGATTCTATATAAATAAAATTTTAACTCATTGACTTGCGAAAGCTTTCATAGTTTATTTGATTCATTACAACGTCAAAGATTTTCTTATAGTATTCGTAGATCGTAATTAAATTAGTCGAACGAGAATACTGTTGCAAAGAAAATATTGTTCATCAATGGTACAATTCAACACGCAAGACGAGCTTATTAGATAGATTCTACAGAAAACGGAGTAAAAACAGTCTTTGGTTTTAAAATGACTTCTATGCACTGTAAATTTTAATACGTGATTTTCGACCAAACATTCGCAATCCTCATCCTATTTCCAAGCAAAAAATTCTGCAAAAAGAGCTTTCGACCCTTCTGAAGTTTAGAGTAAAAGTAAATATTACATAAAAGCGAAAAGCTGTTTAACCATTAAATCTCTGCTTAAATCTGTCTAGACATAGAATTTCAACATTTTTTATTAAATAACAACCTTCAACTTATTAAAAATGTTCAAAGTTCTTCAAAGAGAGCTTAAGTAAGAAACAAATTTTATCGATAAGTTATTTTAAACGACAAATTGTTATAAATACTTAATAGCTATCTAGGCTTTCCTAATTTTAAGCACCAATGCCTCGCCGCAGGATATTCCTACTCGACCTAGAATAACCGAAGTAATTTCCAACATATCTTAGGAAATACCTTACGATCAAACCTGATCGAATGATATAGATCTGCAGAGTAAAATTTATATTTTATCATAATATGTATTTTTCCATTATGTAGGTTCAGTATTAAAATCTCGCTTATCATAGCTTTCGCATTATATTGTTATATTTAAATAAATAATTAAGTATAGTATAATTTCATGTGCATCTCAGTTAGGAGAAGTTAAGAATTTTATAATCTAAATTATACAAGAGAACAAAATGTTTAACTTTCTTTATGCAGAAAAAATTCTTCAGTATTTTTCAATGTCAGATGACAAAGAATAAACGGAAATGTTATGTATGTACGCCATCCAGCGGACAACTTCAGAAGCTAAATAATTACATTGCAAGTTCCGCAAGCTCCGCGGTAACTTTAAAGTTTGCAACGATCTTTTGTATCATCGGAGTTGAAACTGCATTATCAACTCGACAATGCAAAAAAATTACAATAACAAAAATCTGAAGAAATCTCAATCGAATAAAATATAAAATATAAAAATTGTTATAATATTTAAATATTTA